TATTCCCAAGGGCCAATTAATTCGCACTAATTCACGTGGGTGCCTCGGACAGCTTAGCGATGAAATGGGCGGACACACCGCGCAATCATATTTCACGTATAAGTGGAAATGCTTGAAAGGTTAAGTGCCAAACACCATGATCACTCGTGACTGCTAAGCCCAGATGGCACGATGTGAGTTTTGCGAGTATACCCCCTAGCATGTGTGTAGCCAATCAAGCCTGAATACGAGTCTTGAGCGCGACCGGGCACCCACCAAATCGCACGCGATCTGCGCCACCCCCAAACTTCTCTGGTAACTCATGTCGTAAACTAGTCTGATATGCCATTGGTTGAGTTGGGATTGGTCACCCAACGAGTGGGGCGCTTTGGTTCCTTCGCGCCAGATGGATGATATTTGATTGCGTTAAGGAGAATTCTAAAAGATGTATGGACGAAACCTATTTCCTAAACGCTAACTTTGAAAGCGTTATGGAGGCAATTAACTGAGAAAAGGTGTAGTAGACAAGCGACTATTGAAGCAAGGTGGGGGAGGCCAACAATTAGGGGGTTGAAAACAGGGGGGAAGTGTAGCTGTGTGTAGGATGAAAAAGCGTGAGGAATAAGAAGACGGGAAGGCTTGAACAATAGCATCCAAACCCCTATCCACCCTGCTCGATGCAGCAGATAGGGCACCGTTGATTATCCTCTGCGGTGGCCAGAACATCAATAAACTGTTTGAAAAGAAATTCATTGTATTGTGTGGACAGGATACTATCAGGTTGCCCAGGCCTAGACATGAGAACGATTAAGGTTCACAACCAAAGCCTTTGGTTCAAAAACCTGACCTCAAAGCGGCGGGTTTGGCGTTGGGCTACAAGGAGTCCGTTTTAAGAAATAAGGAGCCACCCTCATTCCAACCCTCAACTAGGAGGCTGAGTTTGTCTGGCCTTTAACCATTGACCAATCAGGTAAGTGTGGCTCTGAAGGTGCAAAAAAGCACCACCCAGCATAGCTCAATGGATCACTGAGGCACACAAACCATCGCACCTCGGTAAGGTGCAGCCTCATTGCGATGGATGTGCTAGAGCAGCGTCAGGCAAACTGCAGACCGACAATAGCTGTGTTCCTCGATGTAATGAGTGCCTTCGATCCAGTAGATTGATGCAATCTGCTCGAAATACCTGCACGGAAAGGTGTTCCCACGAAATATGTGAATATCATACATGCTCTTTACTCGAACACTACAGGCCGCGTCAAGGTCTAAGGTGACCTGTCGGATAGCTTTCCGACAAAAAGTGACGTTCGTCAGAGCTGTCCGATTTCCCTGTATTTGCTCAATTTCGTCTTGGACTCTATCATCGACTGTCCCCTTGCGCAACCTCACGATGTAGGCGTTGAAATCTTACCTGGTGAAAGGTTGGTTGATCATGATTATGCAGTCGATATCGCCTTGCTCTTCGACGATGTTGCGGAGACACAAACAACCCTGAATAGCCTCTCTAGAGTGGTCCTATTATTTGGTATGCGCTTCGCATCTACAACGCGCAAAGTGGTTTTGTCGGAACACCAGCCACTAGATAACCCCTTGACCCTTGATAACGAGGAGCTGGAGGTGGTTCATCAATTCACTTACATTGGCAGCTGCATCATCAAGGATGGGCGCGGAGAAATTGAAGTAGGTTCACACAAAGCAAAATCCAGAACAACCGTCTTGAACCTTTGGCATCTTTGGCGACAGAAGGGAGTTTCCCCAGTCTGAAACGCCGTGTTTATAAAACCCCAGTGAAGGCCGTCCGGCACTATGAGAGTGAGACTTGACCCCGTCGATCTGAGGCGCCTTCAAGCCTTTGAACATCGATGTCTGCGGAGTATTGCTGATGTCAGATGGCACCAGCGTGTTCGTAACGATGATATCTATAGGCGATTACAAAGCAGTGATAACCCATGTAGTTCCTTAGAACCACAGATAGCACTGAATAAGATGCGTCAGTTTGGGCACAAAATACGTATGCCTGGTCATCGCTTACAGAGGAGGGACTTGTTTTGTTTGCCAGATGTAGGGTGGCACAAGGAATGAGGTGGACAAAAGTTTACATGGCAGCGGCAAATGAAAGCACCGATGATCAAACTGGGTGCCTTTGGTCCGTCTCCCCTTCCAGGCTGGAGCCCACGTGACCCGCCTTGTGCTTGCCTCGAGACTTAACAAGACATGGCTCGTAACCGACGTCAGTGTCGCATCTGCTGCCGTCTCCTAGTCTGACTGCCTGTTTAAAGTGTGTTTATTACTGAGTTATCTGCTGGGTAATGGCTGATTATGACGCGGGGCAGTAAAAGCCGCAAGGAAGCTGTCTCGCCGATTCCGCATTATTATTGCATGATAGCCAACTGTTTGTGACCGGATTTTGTTAACACAAGGTGTAGGCGCCTTGTCCCTGAATGTTTGCTTAGGGCACTATGGTTTTGGCTAAGTACTCATTCTCTCTCTTTTACTATTCGTTGTTCCATAGGTCATCATGGTTGCATGACAGCGAAGCGCCAGTTCAAATAGCTGATGTACTGCTGTTGTTGTTGATGATGGTGATGATGATGCCGTGGGAGACGATAGACAACCATCATTGATTGAAATATAACTGGGACATAGCCCGACCCATCCCCCACTGCCATGAAGGCTTCTGAGGGTGCAGAGAACGGTGAATGGCCATTCAGGACAGCACGTCCCTTGCCAGCGCTATGAATCCTCACAGCATTTTGAGGACTGGTGACGCTTAGTTGTTGATTATTAATGAGTATGAGGAGGTATGAGGAGTCCCAATAAGACGAAACAGATCATAAAAGTAGCTCACCTGTGCGATTTGTAGTCGAATTGCGATGAAGCAAATAAAATCATACATAGACCGTCTACTGACTAGTAATCAAAAACTAAGCCCTGCCGGTCTTAATAATGCTGTGTGAATTCACAGTACTGGCAAGGGATATTATACACAACCTGAGGCATAGATTTTGTGCCATCGGAATCATGACTGAATAGGAAAACAGTATGAATAATAAGAGCAACAACAACAAAAGCCTTTTTGTCATGTGTACCACACACAGTTTTTGACATCGATCTTGAGCCATGGCTCCAAGGTCTTCAACCAGCTAGTATCTGCATCTAGAGCCCCAACCAGGTAGTTGACAACAACCGACCGAGGCCAACTGTTTCGTCAGCTTTTTCATGCGGCTTCTCCATGTTGTAGGCTGTAAACCAGACCGTCTCTTCCAGCCCTGTCCAGCAAGTGCAAACAACGCACGACGGGGGTAACGCTGGACAGGCATGCGCAATACGTGTCCCAACCACCGCAGTTGATGCAGTGAGATGAGCTCCTCGAGCGAGTGACTTCCACGTCTCAAAACACGCTGTCTAACTTCCACATTTCTTCCGTGTTGCTGCCACCACACACGGGCAATAGACGACAGACAGCGGTGTTTGAAGACGGATAGCTTGCGTATGTCATCTTTACGAATGGGCCAGGTCTCGCATCCGTACAACAGTACAGCACGAACAGTTGCACAATAGACCCGCCCTTTGATGGAGAGACGAATGTCGTGGCGACGCCACAAGTGCCTCAGCCTAGAAAAAGCGAGGCGTGCTCTCGAGATGCGCATCGAAATGTCGTCTCCAACAGCCCCGCCAGCAGTGATGCAACTTCCCAAGTAGACAAAGCTATCCACAACCTCTAGTGTCTCACCAACAAGGGAAGTCCGAACTCGGACGACCATCCACTGTCCTCTGCACCCTCAGAGGTCTGCATGGCAGTGGAGGGTGGGACAAGCTATGTCGCAATTAAATTCCAGTAATAATGGTCGGCTATCGTGCCCCATGGTTCAGTGGCATAAGCTGTTGGCAGTATAAGGTTATATCCCCGCAGGGGACCGAAAGAAAGTGAAGCAGTGACGAGTCCCAATAGGACGAAACGATCGTCCGGTGCTTTTCCGAATAGGTAGCTCACCCACGAGGCTTGTAACCTAACTGTGATGAACTAAATAAAATAAATAAGTATGGAAAGCTTCGAAGTGGTTCACGTTACGAGGTCACCACAAGTAAGTAGTTCTCAGTTATGTGCGCGTGGGGGTGGTTTGGTGTTCGCTCTCCGCCTCGGATACGTCCGCCGACTCCCCTCAATCTGTCCTAAATAAGAGAGTCCGAATTATATTCAACAGCTCCATCCTGTCCATTCGATTTCCTCAGCCGTTGCCTTTGGCAACTTTCACTGCCTTGAGGCTTTGGCCGCAACGCCATCTTCAAACGCTCGATTATTATGTAAGGTGCTTCCATACCCGTTGTCCAGCACGTACACCGTCATCGCTCTGTATTCAGGTTCCTTCCTAGGCGGCCCTGACATGAGCCCTTTGTGTTACTCCACCTTCATGCACAGCTCACTAGCGGATTGGCCTATATACGTGTGGTCAGTCTTCGCACTTAATTTTTCGGACGCAATTATTCGTCTTATCTGCCAGGAGTAGCTCAAATGCGCCAGTGTTAAATGAAGCGTATCACTCTGGGAAATCGATCCATACTCCTCCTTTGTTTTATACTCTCTTCGGACGGCCCCGGAAATTCCATCTCTGTAATACTAGCTTTCTACTGCCCCGATACACCCCGTGTCACGCCGTGGATATAAGCCTATAAGCTTACGCAACTGGTTTCATTAACTGTCGGGGATATCCAATATCCATTAACTAGCTCACTGCTTTCATTCAAGTTATCTTAACCCTGTACTCCGTGTACACGGTCTGTGCTTCGCTTCAGATGAGAAAGGCACCAGCCGTATGCCGGTACGCAGTAACGACGCTTCGCTGCCGCGCAACCAAACGGCAGCCGCATGTGGGCCAAAGATACTGCGCGAGAGTCGTCCGGTCCCTACGCAGGCTCGAGCCCGAGCCCTCAGATTACAAAACAGGCTTTTGATCGTTAAGACTACGGGCCGGCTTGATGAGGGTCGTGTCAAAATTAAAATGCTCACCGAACATACTAACAGATTATTTGCCAACCTTCCTAAAAACAAGTGATATAAATAAAATATTCACAAAATGTGCAAAGAAGTACCTGATATCAGAGAAGATGACCAGATGTTCGCAGTTTCCCTGATGCACGTAGTAATAAGGTTTACCAGGGAAGATGATCAGGTCGTTCAACACTGCGGTGTCCATGGAGGAAGAAGTGAAAGTACCCATTGAATTAAATTCAGTTTTACTGCGGATCCACTCCAATAGTGTCCTGAGTAAGCGTGTTAAAGTAACGAAAAGACACAACAGACTTGCTTAGCTTGTGATTCTCTGGATGACGAAGGTCATCGTAGAAGGTATTCTCGATGAAGAAATAAGATGACTTGTACAGTTTTTCTGCGGGTATGTGAAGGACAGGGTCATCCAAGGCATCACTACAATCTCCTAACCAAACCTTAATGGTGATTAATCGTGTGTATTTTCTAATTATACCTTGTCTTGTGGACAGCGGATAGCATCTTTCAAGTCCGATAGTTTTTGAGACCCCAACAAAACAATTCTCTGGGTTGCAGATAGATTACGGACCTAAACAAACCCAAACAAAGGAGTTCGCACAAAATCATGGAAAAGAACAATACTTGAGTAGATATATCCAACAGGGGAAGACAAGTGGGTCGATAAATCATGACAGTGACGAAGACGTCTTGTAGAACCTCGGTGGATTCTGGGGATTCTTCAGCGATGTTTTTGTAGGATAAATCCACCTCAGGTTTCGGAATCCGCCCGAATAGATAACACGGTGACCGATCCGCATCTGTTGTTCCAGGAGTGGAATCCAAGTATTCCAAAGTTTTCAATGGCATCAGAGTCGAATCACGATTAGGAACCACTTTCAGAATACCTTCTAGTGTGATATGTTCATCCTCAACAAACAAAGAATCTATGCTGAGAAAGTGAACCAGGAGCAGCATAATGTACCTGCAATCAGCCTGTAACTGCTTGTGTATTTCAGGATTGGATGACAACTTCGATAAGGAGTCGTTCACAAGTGCTTGTGCATCGTTTTCATTTAAGATGAAAAATTCTTTCGGTATCTGGTTGGCGAAAAGCTTTGGAAGATCGCCTATACGGGCACCGTAGGAGCATACGTTGCCGTATTCCATGGGGCAAGTAAAGCTAAATTGAAAAAAACCGTGCACAACGATGAAGTGAGCAATCGAAAAATAAAACAAGATACGGTGGATCAAGTAACCTTGACACATGTCGCCAAAACAGTTGTGACACAAGATATATATATATATATATATATATATATATATATATATATATATATATATTCTCAAGTCAGTATACAGGAAATGTGTCATCAGAACCATGGAAAAAAGGAAGACCATAAGCGTATGAAAGAAAACAAGGAAGAAAGATATTTCTTTTTCGGATGGTTTCACACACGTGGTTTTGAGATTTATAATATACTGGCACAACACTGGCACTCCTGATGTCTGTTAAGTACCAGCACATCCAACGTTTGCAACCACAAGAATTCCGAGTCACGTGGTCCTTAACCTGGGATGCGCACTGATCCGAGTGATGGCTAAGCTTGAAGCTGCGTTCTTCATGTCCTTTTTCCACTTTATTGGTTGTACATCGCGACACTTCTTCCAATCGTTTCCCGGAAGCGATGGATCTTTAACGCTGAAAATCTTTAATCTATATTTTCAGTATTCAGTGTACTTCCCTTGACTAACAGGGTGTCGCACCTGCGTCCCAGAGTCGAGTGGAGGGAAATCCAATACGTCGATGTTAGCAATGATGGCCGACACCGACTGAAAAGAGGGAGATTTTATCTTCACACAAAATAAATAAGAAAAATAATGTGTCAGCTGTACGCCGTAATGGCGCTTCGGTGCCGTGCGAAGCGCAATTCAATCTCGTTTTGGGCAACAGCATTATCAATGTGACCCACTGCAACCGGGATACGGCGCAAAGGACGGTGCTACAGATTGGTTACCAGGGCCTTTGCGTGCATCACAGTTATGCAGATCACCATCGTTAGGGACCTCAATCGCCTTCACAAACAAATCGATCTTGCGATGAAGAGTAGTGACCACAACGATTTATTGCAATCTGATATCAACCGATGAGTGATCGCTAGTAAGAAGAGTTGGACAGTTTTATCGGCATCCGCAACAAATATGTAGAACGGACTGTGTATTTCTCGACAATTAGGCTGGTAAAAAGCTCCCTGTATGCATAGATAGACGACTAGCTGCCTCATTTGGGCGTGTTTTTGGTCGCTCGTAAAATGCACAAATAAAAGAAAAGAAATTGTGTGACGTGTCCCAGGTATGTTGTTGAATATTCGTATACACCTTTAACACCGCCGGCCTTTACCTATAAGTGTGTTTCTTCACAAACTAGCACTTGCAGTCAGCGCAAATGACTGATAGATCGCCGCTGTGTGACCGTTTTTGTGCCCCTGGCCGCCCCAGTAGGACACAGCTAGAACGAGTTTCGGTCACACAAAAAACTTTTGGTTTGACCTTACGGCTTTAGTATTGCGTAATTGCGATTTGGTAATCGACTTCCGCTTGGTGTGGACGGCGTTTGCAACCAAGAAAATGCACTTACGCTATATGTAAAGTAAGATTATTCTGTCCGAGGAACATAAAAGCGGTCACTCGGACTATAGTCCCGGTCAGGTCAAGTCAACCACCAGGGAAGAAACAGGTCTTCATCTAACGAGCGTCCCGTTTCGTGCGCAAGTCAGGGCCACCGTACCTCGACGATGAAACTCCCTCCTTCTGTTCAACACATCCAATCAACCATGGGCTATTAGATATAACACCTACTAATCTCAGCGCAGTTACATAACCAGAGTCGACCGATTAATATCTAGATGTCTTTTAAAGGCTTCCGCGGTATTACAATCCAGTTGTGCAATGGGAAGTAAATTCCGACAAAGTATTACGTGGATCGAAAAATATGTCGTCCGGATATCCAGTCTAGAGCTTTGCTGCATTTCCTTAGGATAGTGCCCCGTAGGCTGTCCGACGTAGCTAATTCAAATTGGTTGGCTTAATGCCACTGAAATCCTTCATAATTTTAAACGTGTCCATAACGTCACCTCTTAATATGCGACACTTCTAATAGGACAATACTAAACAAACTAGTCAACCAACGTACGACTTTTCACGCTGGCCTTCAACATTTCCCGTGCCAAATCTTTGTACCTTTTCTAAACAAGCAGCATCCTCCGTAGATACGTTGCCCAAGCCTAAGCAATACACAGTGCTGCCGAACCGCCGCTTTGCACAAAGGGAGATCTCAGATTTATTATTGTACAACGCCCTCCTAAGGCAAAAACGCTTCTGCCGCGCCTTGTTGAAAACATGTTGACGATGCACCGGTCTGACGCTATCCACCATGACAACGCCTAAATCCCTTGTCCTGTCACACAGCGCAGTCAGAGACCCAGCGGACGTTTGCACCGTAATCCCATGGATGGTTGAAGCCAAAAGTTGACATTTGTTGACATTTAATGATAGATGCCACAATTCAGGCTTTGCAAAAGTACTCAAGTCTTTGGACAACGTGTTGCGGTTTCCCCAACCGACGAGCCGTAAACGCATCCGTTAAAGCATCACATTCAACAACAGCAGTATATAAGCCATTTGAACTGACGGTTCGCTGCCAAACAACCATGATGACCTGTGGAATAGAATAGTAAAATGGAGAGAAGGACTTATCTGAAAACTTTAATACCCCAAGCAAACATTCAGGGTCAAGGCGCCTAGACCTTGTGTTAACAACATTCCGTCACAAATAGCTGGCTATCGTGCAAGGATCAGGCAGCATCGACGAGACTGCTTCCTTTTGGCTTTCACTGCCTCGCGTCATAAGCAGTCATTACGCTGCAGATAACTCAGTGCCAAACACATTTTAAACAGGCAGTCAGAGTAGGAGACGACAGCAGACGCGCCACTGGTGTCGGTTGCGAGCAATGTCTTGTAAAGTCTCGAGCCAAGCACAAGGCGGGTCACGTGGACTCCAGCGCGGAAGGATAAACGGACCAATGGCACCCAGTTTGGTCATCAGTGACTTCATTTCACGCTGCCAAGTCAAATATAGCCTTATGTCATCCGCAAAGACACCTGATAATTTTGGACCTTTTTAACAGCTCGCTTCCGGAATGCAGGCTATCCTGACAATTCATATGGAGTGATCCAAGCTTGTGTTACGCAATTATGCACCTGTTAGCCTGATCAAGTATTCTGCTAAAGTGTCCGGAGAACATTTTTAAGCACCGAATTTGCGAACATTTGGTTGATAGCAAGTTAATCAAGCACGAAAAGCATGATTTCATTAGAAAAAGAGTCATGTCTCACAAGCCCGTTGCTTTTTTTGAACGAGATAACTCAATGCTCTGATATCAAGGTTCCAGTGGAGATGTGCTACCTGAACTTCATTAAGGCATTTGAGTCGGTTTTCATCGATTTGTATTGGAGAAATTAACCCGGTTTGAACTGCATCTCCAACTGATGACTTGGTTGTCGGATTTTCTCTGTGGCAAAAGGTTCTATGTCAGCATCGGCGAAGCCGAACCTAGTATGGGCACTGCTCACAGTGTGGTCCTCAAGGTTCAATGCTAGGACGTTTGTTGTTCCTTGTGTCTATAAATGAGCTCGCTATTCTGCTTGAGGGTCCTTGTTATGTCTATGTCATCCGAAAAGAGTCAATGTCAAAGTCGGTTTGCTCGGATACGCGTGGCACTTCGTTGCCCCCTAAGAAGTAGGGCGTTGATGAGCTTCAAGGTTTATGGGCAATTGCAACAAAGTGGACCAATCCCAGAATTTATCAAGCACACTCTGCAGAATCTGGGAGTCACTCGGGTCACTGATCGTGTCCCAGAACTTAAAATCATCTGCAAACATGAGAGACGACACCCCAGTTTCTCAGGCAAGTCATTAACGTACAAGATAAGCAAAATTAGGCCAAGGACGGACCACTGCGGAACACCACTCAGAAGCAACTGACGAAAAAAGGCTCGAGCCCACCCGAACGCACATCCCCCTACCGTCTAGAAAGGTCATCATCCACTGTAGCGCTTGCCCGGACATACCGTATGACCGCAGCTTACACAAAAGGCGGGAATGTGAGACGGTGTCGAAAGCTTTGGCAAAGTCAATGAAGAGCACATCGACCGCCTTGCCCCGATTCAACGCGTCGGCCCAGCGATCCCGAGCATACAACAAATTGGCAAGGCAAGAGTAGCCTTTATGAAAACCATGCTGAGACGAACAGAGCAATTTGAACGTACTCAAGTGGGCTTCCAGGGCATCACTTACCACCTCCAGTAATTAGACTAGCACACTAGTCAAACTGACCGGTCTGTAGTTCCCAGGAAGGTGTTTGTCACCGTTCTTGAAAATGGGACAAACGCTTCCTTCCAATCAGAAGGAAAGGAGCAGTAGAGAAGGGACTTCTCAAACAAGCGTGTGATAGGCTCACAAAGCTCAGCTGAGAGTTCATACAACAACTTGGGGTGAATAGCATCTGCCCCAAGGGCTTTGGTAAGATTTAGTTCCCGTAATAGCAAAAGCACATGAGTCTCTGTAAAGCAAAGTCAGACAAAAATCTCATCTCTAATGCAAAAGGCGGCAAGCAAGATTCTGTAACAAATGCTCGCGCATACTGCTCCGCAAGCAGACAGACCTTAGCGTGGTCCGTTTCAGTAGCAATGCCGTCGGTACCAAACAAGACTGGAAGGAGTGAATGTTGTTTAGTCCTCCTCTTGATATAGGCGAAGCGCTTTGAATTTACCGAAGCTGAGTAGGCCAACTCCATTTCACAGCATAGTCGATAGGCCCGCAGATGTTGTTTGAAGGCATTCCGTGCTTCTAGATAGCGCCGAAAAGCGCTCTCGGAGGCAGCCGACTGATACGTCCGCCAACACTTGGTCCGCCTATTCATCAGTCGACGTGTAGCTGAATCAAACCATGGACGCTTCGCCTTTTTAGATTTCCTCACAGAAATGGGGATATGAGGGAGAGACACCTAGGACAGGTAGGACTTGAAGTAATCCCAAGCGGTCTGCAAGTCATCGTCGCAAAGATAATGCAGGGCGAAGTTGTGACCTTAGCACTAATCGCCGGGAAATCCG